AGGAAATTGTCAGATAAGTTTGAATCAACAAACGTCAATAATAAACTTGATGTATTGATTCAAAGTTTATTAAATGCCATTTATTTAATAAAGACAAGAGTGTCTTGTATAGGATGGGAAGAGTAGTGAAGGGTCAGTAAAATGAGGTATGTGGTTCACTGCTCAAGCATTATTGCTGAAAGTCCCTGATTACTTAGTTTTTCCATAAGAGTTGGCTGTAACTACTGATTGAACATCCGAGTTATATGTAAACGGTCAATGTCTAACAACTTTAACAGTTGATACAACTATATAGTGACAATCGATGTTGATATAGTACCACACAACATGAAATGTCAACACAACAGTTGCAAGTCATTGATCATCAATGTGACATTGTGGTTGCAACATGAACTACATTGTATTGATTCAGTTGATTGATTGAATCCACTGATGACCGTCATATCGACTGAATGTCAGCTCAGTTACATACAGGTTTACATGGCATGCATTGATTTCTTAGGCTGTGGTTCACTGACCCTTTTCAGAGTGAATAAGGGTGAGAAACTACACAATCGATCAATCAATCGTACGATATTTGAATACATAGCCAAACAGCGGTTCAGTAAAAACTGTTGATCGCCATATAAAGGGATATCCCTTTTGAATCGCTTGACATTGATAGTAAATCAACATCGACCCTGACAATAAACCTGATTCTTTGGAACGGCCATCCAAAAAGTATGCTTTTAATACTATTCACTCAGCTGATATAAATACAATTTAGACCCGACCTGTTGAATGACAATCATCTGCAACTCGATCAAACCAGTAAAATGAAACTACCAATCGCTGCATTGTCATCAATTCTGCTTGTTTGTTCAGTCACTATCGCCAATCCAGTTGTTCCCAGTACGACTGCAAGTACAGAACATGTCTCATCGACAGTTGTTCCCAGTTCGACTACAAGTACCGAGTCTAACCCATCTGCAACTCCTAATACAAACGGTTTAGACTTGAGCCGTCTTGATTCACTTTCAGTTGACATTGAAGATTTGCTTGACAATTATTCAGAAAGAAAGCATGACCATGATAGGCATAGAAAAGAATGCGAATTGATAAGGCTTCGACTTGAGGATCAAGAGGACCTGGTAAGCCATTTGGAGGAAGAGTTTGACGATTTGAAATTTGAACTTCAAGGAAACGGTCACAGCGATTCAGAATATAGTGATGATGATGAAATGGAAAGGACTGAGTTTGAGCTTCAAAACGGATATTCCAAACTTATCAGACTTGAAAGAAAGGATAAAATGTGCAGACTCAAGCATACTCGTTTTACTCGACAACTGAAACTCGTCAAAATAGATCTTGTGAAATCCGTTTTTGGAGCATCTTTCAATATTGAATTACTAGAGGAGCAACTTTCGCTTATCCTCTCACACTCTCTCGTTAAACAATACCTTGAAGGACTATGTAGTGGTGAACAATCATCAGCATGCAGAAACGATTTTGGTCAAGATCCTGATGCTGAACAACAACAACAAGATCCTGATGCTGGACAAGAAAGCTAAGGTTTGCAACCATCACCAGCAATACCATCTGTATCTCGTTCCATCAGACATACAGTTTCTTTCAGATTTGGTAGTGAAATTAGATCGCTTATCAGGCAAATCAGACGTATTAATTCATACAACTGATTTGAATGCTAGTGTAATCTGGTCCAAACCCATTCGATTGTCATTCTATAACTGCATTTCTGATTTAGCTTACAATAAAACTGAATTTACATGCATTGTATCTGATTATTCTACAGTCTTGGTCAGCATGATATTGTACCTTGACACTTGTATATTTCCAATACAATACAGCACATTGTATATTGCATATTTGTACACATTTATGTCAATAAACTACCCATTCAGATCTGGATCAATATAAAACTTGTGACAGTCATGATCCAACTCGGTACAAAACAGGTCAACTCCAACACATTCCACCATGGTTATGGTCACATTCCACCATGCTGATGTATGTCAATCGGTATCACATTGCAACCAGTTATCATCCAATGACTGCAATGCAATACCGTGCATGTATTGTGACTGATACGCTGTGCACCATCAGCAAATGTGCAACTGTCACTCGATATATCGAGTCTGATATGCAACAACATGCAGTGTTTACCATGATCAGGTTTTTGATCAATCTTGGACTCATGATACATGATTTGCCATGTTGGATCGTGTGGATGTGTCATGGACTGCAATTTAGTTGCAAACACACATATGTTTGACATTGACTGATGCATACTGTGCAACGACTGATCAGTGCGGGTGTGATTGCACACTTGGTGGTATTGTGCATTATGGTTGTTTGACAATGGATGAATGCTGGATTAGTCAGTTATATGCAATCCATTTGAATCGACATATTTAGACCATCACTCGATGTAGCTGACAACAATGGGTTGTCAGCCAATGTTCGCACAGTACGAATATGGTTTGTTTGCATCAAATCATCACACAATCTGTATCTCAGCACTCGTTTATTCAAAATAAAATGCATTCAACCACATGTTCAAACATGTTTGGCTACAGACGGTTTGTGTGATAAACTGCACATCATCGACTGAGCTACACTGCATGATCTACTATGCCATTGATACACACGTTCAATTCAGCAATGCAGCTGTATTACAATGCTGACAACTATCTGAACCAATTCAGTATAATATGTTACAACTAAATAGATTCCATTGACACATCAACAGTCATGCATACCGATTGTTGAACATGCTCGTGTTGGTTGGTGTGCATTGATACAAATTGTCAAAGCCAACCAACAAATCACTATATCTGTACGGATTGTGTACCATGGCATATGTTTGAACAGATACTGCACGAATCATTATCATTTGGATTGAATAATCAACAAATACCATTGTGACTACACATGTATGCATATCTGAATGGGTTACAGTCGAGTGTGTTGCATTTCATGACACTCGATTGAAATGTCATGATTGGATATTTTCCAAATAGTAAAATGGTATCTCGTAAAATTGTTGAAATGCACTGATTATGGGATTGGATAATCAATTGGATACCACTGCTCACTTTGTTGGTGGCGCACAGCGTTGATCGTTGTATAGTTGTCAATAATGTCCAATTGTTCCTGCATTATACGGCAGAATCTTGCATTGTTCAAATTTTAGCACAGTATACGACTTTACCAGATTTCAATCCCAACATGACTGTTAGTTTGGTAACTGCCGACTTGACTTTGGTAACCATATGTTGATATATCAGCAATCTGTTGTGTTGTGCTGATGTAGATTGATTACTATAACCTATTGCTGCACGATCTTGTAAAGCATGTATTTTCTGCATATGGCTGACCCAACTATGTTGCTGATTGTGAACCACAGTGTTACATTGTATATCCATGTTGTTGGAAACCGAGTTTTTCAAGTCATTGTGTTGTGCTGATCATTCCTGTCAATGTAGTTTGTGCTGCTATAAACTCGACCTGCATTGCCGATCAAGACACATGTCTGCTTGACAGACTTGCATGAAATACATCCGTGACCTAAACACCACATACATTCAGTCGTGGATTTTCAGATCCAGCATCTCCGGTTCAGTTGGCATTGAAGTGGATGGACAGTATAGTGGTACATTGACCAAGTATGAGTGATATATTCATCGTGTATTTGCTATCAACATTGACATCACAGCGTTCCAATGTTTGTCAGTCGGGTTGTGTATCAACATCGACACTTGTTTGACGGCTGTCCAACAGCTGTTTGTAAGTCTGGGTATGTTGCAATCATTGCATACACTAGTAATTGGACTGCTTCACGATCAGGCTGAGTCGTGGTAAACTCACCTTTTCCAGCTACCTTCGACTGTAGTCATGGCTCGATTACAATGTGCAGCAGTCTGCAGCAACACATTCCAAACATTCCAAACATTGATAATACGTCATTAAAGTGGTGTCCGTGTGATTGACACGATCTCGGTCAACTTTGATGTCGAAACATGTATGTATTGGTTCAAGATGTTTGAAAATACCTTGAACAGTCGCGACTTGATCAAATCTAGCAATGCGTAGTCATCACTTGGCATCAATGTCATTGACATATATAGCGACTGCAACAAATAAAGTGTCCGTTTGAAGTGTATCAATGCATATGTCAAACACATACTTGTTGTGACGGCCAACTGTATGACCCGAGTCACTCTGTCGCTTGTATTCACCTGGCAGATCCAAATAGTAAGACTCGTCAATGTTTGCATTGATGAATGTGTTGTTCGTACGGTCAACTATCCAGTCGTGAATGTTACAGTTGCTGATGGCCGCTAATGTTGATAATATGCTTAATCAAGTGAGCCCGAGTATCGATGCGTAGGTTTCGTGCAAGTTATTCCTTGAATTTGTTGGAACTGTATTGCCACGAGTCTTGCTCTGGACTTGCCGATTGATCCGTCGATTGGTCCGTCAATCTTGTGGTCAATGTCTTGACCCATTTTGTATTGGTGGTATGTGTTACACTGTCCATGTGTTGTTGTGAGTTGACGAGCTCATTTATGCATCTGCTGGTTTCCAAATATCTGATTTTGAATATTGCATGGTTTTTTGCCAGAAATGCGGTACTACTATATCAATGTATTGTGCCAAGAACTTTACAATCGAATGACTTGGTCAGGGTCATACATGACTGAATCCAGTCGATTTGGTCTTGGATTACTGATGTTTGTGCAGTTGGATCCACGATTTGTCTGCAGTTGATTGTTTGATATTGGATTGTGTCGGATTGACTAGAGTATCAGTAGCCTTGCTCGAGTGTTTATAGAGTCTCATAAACCAGTCAGTTTTGATTGATTGGTTACTTGTGGATCGACTTGGCTCGATTGACTGCGTTCTATCGAGGTTCCACAGTTCTTGTTCGGTCATCCATCTGGACACGTCGAGGTATACCCGTTTCCAGTGTTTTCAATGACAGTGATCGAGTCTTTTCCAGTTGGGACACTCGATTCTATGTTCATTTCTCAACTGATTTTGTTGGTTGAGTTGTTTCGAGTCTTGTGGCATGCTCTGTGTGTCGACATGTGTTCCACTGCTGTGAATTCAGTCATTTTCAGTATTGTCCATTATCTGAGCATTGTTGTATATACCCATGACTGCTTTCTGAAATACTGTTGGTGTGGGTAACAAAGCAATGTAGCTTAACAACGTAAACCTGCATTCATCACGATATACAACAAACCTTGCCGTTTCAATGTTGTAGAATGTGTATGCCTTTAATTCCGGTTAGTACTCAACTCCGACGCATACTGTCATCCCAGTCAATTTCTCGAGTGACGATACTGGAAAAAGTACATGTGCCTGACATCCATCTGGACGTAGGTGAGCCATAACCGACTCGGATACATACCATAGCTTGTAAGGCGTCCTGTTGTTTATAGCCAAGTGTGCGACCTATTTTGCAGGTATACCACCATCATCACTGTTACTGCCATAACTTTATGATCTTGGCTTCAACTAGTATGGACCTTATCGCATCCATGATCGGGGTCAGTTTTGCACTCAGTAACACCATTTTACCAGTATGTGTAGGGCGTTGGCAGCCTCTTGATCCCTGTTCCCGCCAAGTACTGGTCGAATAGCAGAAACCTGAGCTTTGCTCTATTGTCGGTGCACATCATCCGGACTGGTAATTCAGTTTGATTGTCAACCAGCACGACATGTTCCTTGAACTCGTCCAACACTTGATGTTTGGAGTGTAGCATACACACATGTGCATATTTTCATAAATCATATACAATGATATAACAGCACTTTGATTGACCTATTGATTAACGGACAAGAAACCTGACAAGTCCATATGCGGGAGTACGTTGGTTTGTATTTACCAATGATTCGACTTTTCAATGAATGGGAGTTTCGTCGACTTTCTTTTGGTGCATGACATGCTGCGTTTTTCATGCTCGGTATTTGTTGCAACGTCAAGTCATGACTCTTTTGAAGCGCTCTGATGCTTTTTGATAATATGGCCAATCTCTTGTACTGTGTGTCTATATCCACTGATACTCGACATTCCAAACTTGATGCATGGTGATTGATGTTTATTGAAAGTTGTTTGTCTGGACAACACCCTGAAATCAGCCATGTCGAGCCATTCGCTTGAAATGCAGTCATCAGCGGTGCATTTTTTGTATTGGTATATATTTTCCTTTTTTTGAAGACCAAAATATTACAGCCTTGTCAAGCATCGTGTTTTTGGAAACGAGATTGCTGAGCATGTAGGTATGAATATGACATTGGTAATGCAACTATTTGACCCATACATTTGATGTTACAGGTCAGATCGACTGTGCAAACGCCCTGAATTGTAGTCGCCTGTGCTTGATGACTACTCTTGAATTGTGGTATAGTTTAGTTTGTAAGCCATTGCTCACAGCAAACCATACAACTTGTGGTTCCAGAGTCTAGTGTAAATTCACCGCCATTTTGAGAGTTTTTTGTGAATTCCAATTGCACAGTACCACAGTGATCGACCATGTTTGTGTCGATGCTCTTGTTGGATAGTAATAGTTTGAGTTGAATTGTATTCTCGAGTCTTTGACTGTTGATTCCAATATGCTTTCACAGAATATTACCACTAAAGCTTAAATGGATAAATACCATTGTGGTCGTAACCAAGCTGTGTTGGTCAAGCGAAATGGAGATATCAGCAACGAATACTCCACCCTGATATCTTGGCATTCGGACACCCTGAAACCCTGGCCACTAAAGTCGAAAGCACCCTTTTAGCCCTGAGTGTTTTTGTTTGCATAGTCTATGCTGACAATCAGGCCGCTCTGCAATTTGGTGTTTGAATGCACTGCTAAATAGTACCTAAATACATGTGTGCTTTATTTGACTTTGAAATGGGTGGCCAAATATAGTTTATTGGGCTTTATACTAGTTTAATCCAGTCTCCCTTGGCTGTGAGCATCCCTTATCTACATGCAAAGTTATGTGATCACATCAAGTACGACTTTCAAGATTGTTTCGGGAAAATCTGCAATATAAAAAGCCAGGTTTTACCCGAATCTTGGATCCATCAAACACCATCGTCTCAGTCTATTATACTCCAATCTACTCTACTCCACTCCACTACATTTCAATCCAATCCAATCCAATATATCAACCGACCATGCAATTCACTGTCATCGCACTCATCGCTGCTCTTGTCGTATCTGTCACTGCTGCTCCTAGCCCGTATTTTGCTCCACGTTTTTGCAGTGGTACAAATGAATGTAACCTAGGAGAAAAATGTCAAATCACCAATAGTCAATCGTTTGGAGTCTGCATGTCTGAATAAATGCTTTGGCTATATTTGCGTGTCAGCATCCGTTCTAGAGTCTGTTCAGGTCGCACCAACTAGCTTAAACTTGAATTTTGGAATAAATAGACCCACTTTACAATGATATTTGATTGATATTGTATAACATGACTTTGAATGTATTTAATCATGAACGGTTGTTTTGAGTTGAATGGCTTTGTATAGTAACGATCCAAACTGTTGGACCTGATTAATCAGCATATAAGGCGTGAATATGATAACTTGTGCAGGTTTAGAAACACATACTGTGGTGTTACCAGTATTGACGTCCCAGATTGCAATCAATAACTGACAGTTTTTTAACAGGCTATCACTCATGAATACATGGTGATTGGACACGATTATATTATTTTGGTACTCATTTTTTGAATGAATTTTAAAATAAACTCGAGTATTGAATACGATATGATTTCATGTAAGCAGGCCATATTCATACAAACATATTCTGGTGATTTTACAAGTTTATTGGCCAACTGTTGTATGGTGGTCTCGATGATGGTGCCAGAACTGTGTTATCAATGGTACGCTACCAGCACAAACTCGATTGATTGACCAATCGAACAGCTAATATTCTGCAATCAATCACTCCAACTCAAGTATCAGCACCACATGGCTGGCAGTGTTTTTTGTCAGTTACATCAAGTGATGGTCTAAATATGTCGATTCAAATGGATTGCATATAACTGACTAATCCAGCATTCATCCATTGTCAAACAACCATAATGCACAATACCACCAAGTGTGCAATCACACCCGCACTGATCAGTCGTTGCACAGTATGCATCAGTCAATATCAAACATATGTGTGTCTGCAACTAAATTGCAGTCCATGACACATCCACACGATCCAACATGACAAATCATGCATCATGAGTCAGAGATTGATCAAAAACCTGATCATGGTAAACACTGCATGTTGTTGCATATCAGAGTCGATATATCGAGTGACAGTTGCACACTTGCTGATGGTGCACAGCGTATCAGTCACAATACATGCACGGTATTGCATTGCAGTCATTGGATGATAACTGGTTGCAATGTGATACCGATCGACATACATCAGCATGGTGTGATGTGACCATAATCATGGTGGAATGTGTTGGAGTTGACATTGTGAGTTGACAATCGATACACCATGCACATGACTGGAACATATATATTCGAGTGTGGTTTGATTGGTGTCAGGTTGATCATGCAATCACATTGGTGCAACGAATGAACAAACTGATGGTGATCTGAACTTGTTTCAACAACAAGGAGTTGACAGTCATGGAGTTGCTGTATCCAATATGTGTAGCACACCGTTGTTGACTGTTGACTGTGTATGCAGGTCAAGTTACCACCAACCGCCAACCAGATCCAGTGCATACATGACCATTAATAGAATGACTGCCAAGAATATTCGTGTCTGAAAGTTGATTGTGAGTTGGTGGTTTGCAAGAACCGGACACGGCCAACATGCTATTGGATACAGCAACCTGATTATAGTCCAGTCGCATGGTGTGATACAGTGGTTCGTACAATACAACATCCAGATATTTGTAGTGTTGAACATGACGAATCTGTTGTTCGTGTAGCATCATATCAATTGGTAATTTGGAATGAAAGTATTGACCAACGCTTTGCAAGTATTAATGACTGAATCAAAAGGCATAGTGGTTCCAAAGAGTCGCTTGCAACATTCCAAGCAATATCATATCGACACGATACACACATGCATATGAGCATCATCAATGTGTACAACTATGCAATATACAATCAACTGTATTGTATTGGGAATACAAGTGTCAATGTACAATATGATATCATGTCAACCAAAACCGTGTACAATAATCAGATACAATGCATGTATATTTAATATTAATTATATTGTATTGTATTCAAGCAAAAATACAGTGAACATGGTTGAAACCAGTCCAGATTAGCAATCAAATCAATCGGATGAATCATCATTTTTGGGTCGATTCCTGCGTGATCCGAGCTGATTTTTAAATTTGGAATAAGCTTGCCGTAAACGAAAAGATCCAGAAGATTTGGAAGCTCTTTTTGTGCTGAAAAAAGTTGCCTGTGTGTTGGATGATGGTTGAGTGGGTTGGACTGCAGACGTTTCGCTTGATGATGGGGACGGACTTTCATGATGTTGTGATTGATTCTGGGTCTCGCTAGTAGAGGCTTGCTTGGATTCTGACTGCTGGTTTAGTTGAAGAGTGAGAGACTCGTATATGTTTTCAAGAAAACTGAGATTTGATCCCAGGAATTTCGTGTAAGAATAAAGTGATGTTGTACTCGGACCATTCTGGAACAGACGCTTTGCGAGCTTTTTTCTGTCGAAATACGATTGAAAATTAATGTCGAAAAAATCGTTGCCGAGTTTCTGACGCTTTTCTTCAAGCATTTTGAGTTTTTCTCTCTCTTCCCTAAGCTTCAATCTAAAATCTTCTTTCTTTTTTTGACACACTGGATCATTCTTGGTTTTCCAGGATTTATCTGCCAGCCCTGAGTATTCTTTGAGCAGCTGATCTATCAATTTTTCTTGATCAAGCCTTTCAGATTCGGTCAAGCCATACGCTTTCACAGTCTCTTCATATTTTCGATCTGCCTGCAGATATTTTTCAATCAATCTCGCATCACTCTCTGAAAGTTGACTAATATCAACTAAATTTGTAGCTTCTTGATAAGAAATTATCCGATACTCAAATTCAGTACTTTTAGTTGCAGTGGAAATGACGGTTGAAGTGCTAGACTCAGCACTTGTAGTCGAACTGGGATTGACTGGACTGGCTGTAGTGACCGAGCAAGCAAACAGGATCAATGACAATACTGTGACTGCGAATTTCATTATGCTGGTTTGGCTGAGCAAGTTGTATATGATTGTTATTTGATGGGTCAGTTTTGGATCGTATTTATATGTTATTGAATGGATAATATTAAAACCATTGTCGGATGACTGCTTTAGGGATTG